CATGCAACAAGATACATAAGCCTTAAAGCCTTTGTGCTGAATTAAAGCCAAACACAAGGGTGTATACTAAATTCATGTGTACGAAATTCTACAACAGGCAAAATTAATTCAAAGTATTAGGTGTGTCATATGTTTATTGTGGCATTATTCACAATAGCAAAGACTTGGAACCAACCCAAATGTCCATCAATGATAGATAGGATTAAGAAAATGTGGCACATATACACCATGGAATACTATGCAGCCATAAAAAAGGATGAGTTCTTGTTCTTTGTAGAGACATGGATGAAGCTGGAAACCATCATTCTTAATAGCAAACTATTAATAGCAATAGCAAACTATTGCAAGGACAGAAAACCAAACACCACATGTTCTCACTCATAGGTGGGAATTGAACAATGAGATCACTTGGACACAAGGTGGGGAACATCACACACCGGGGCCTGTCGTGGGGTGGTAGGAGCGGGGAGGGATAGCTTTAGAGATATACCTAATGTAAATGATGAGTTAATGGGTGCAGCACACCAACATGGCACATGGATACATATGTAACAAACCTGCACATTGTGCACATGTACCCTAGAACTTAAAGTATAATAAAAAAATAAAATAAAGTATTGGGTATGTCATCAAGAGTGAAGAGAGGTAGAGGTTGGCTAGGAAGGGTCATGATGGAACTTTCTGGAAAATACTCTATATCTTGGTAGGGAAAGTGAATGTATTTGTCAAAAATCTATCAGGTTGTACACTTAGGAAATGTGCAATTCGATGTATGTAAACTATGTATCAATCAATTTAGAAAACAGAAGTATTATATGCAGATTGGTGTCACTTAATACCACCCCCTTGAAGAGATAGAATGTTCAGAAGTTTCTTTTTAAAAGTCCTTAAATCAAGGCAGTTCTTTGCTCATTTTTGTATCTGTGTCCTATAAGCTTGGATTGAGGTATTTTATTTTACCAAAATTGTCATCCTTGATTTAGTTGAAAAATGCCTACAGTTATATTTTATTTACTTTTTTTTATACAAGTCTTGCTCTATCATCCAGGCCAGAGTGCAGTGGTGCAATCTCGGCTCACTGTAACCTCTGCCTTCTGGGTTCAGGTGATTCTCATGCCTCAGTCTTCCAAGTAGCTGGGACTACAGGCATGCACCACCTCACCCAGCTAATTTTTGTATTTTCAGTAGAGACGAGGTTCCACCATGTTCACTAGGCTGGCCTCAAACTCCTAACCTCAGGTGATCTGCCTGCCTCGGTCTCCTAAAGTGCTGGGATTACAGGCGTGAGCCACCATACGCAGCCTGTAGTTACTTTTAAATATCAGTTTTACTTATTTGTTATTCTGCATTGTTCTCATATTTCCTATGTAAGAACTGCTTAATTGTTTAAATTCTCCTTCTACCATTCCATATAACTATGAATAACAGTATTAAGATATATATTTACATTGCTTATAACTGCCTACGCAACTGGGATGTAGGGGTTGGGCTTGGCTTGAAGCATGGAGAGTTCACGCATTGTAACAAGAGGTGAGGCAGAGCCTATAAAATAGGTAGGAGAGAGTGGTGGCTGTATTACTCCATTCTCTCATTGCTATAATGGAACAGTCAAGATCGAGTAATTTATAAAGAAAAGAGATCTAATTGGCTCACAGTTCTGCAGGCTGTACAGGAAGCAACATTCTGGCATTTGCTCAGCTTCTTGGGAAGCCTGAAGAAATTTACAATCATGGCAGAAGGCAAAGGGGGAGCAGACATGTCACATGGCCAGAGCAGGAGCAAGAGGGCAAGGAGGGAGGTGCCACACATACTTTTAAATAACCAGATCTCCTAAGAACTCACTCATTCTTGTGAGGACAGCCCCAAGGGGATGATGTTACACCATTCATGAGAAATTTGCCCCCATGATCCAGTCACCTCCCACGGGGCCCCACCTCCAACACTGGGGATTACAGTTCACCTGAGATTTGGGTGGAGACTGTAAACCAAAGAGTATCTGAAACAAGTCTCAAGTAATGTAGGAGTTTATTTAATCGAAGTTAAGGACACGCCTGTGACACAGCCTCAGGAGGTCCTGATGACATGGGCCCAAGGTGGTCAGCCTACAACTTGGTTTTATACATTTTAGGGAGACTTAAGACATCAATCAATTCAATCCAGAAAGGCAGGACAACTGGAACTGGGGGCTTCCGGGTCATAGACGGATTCAAAAATTTTCTGATTGGCAGTTGGTTGAGTTATCATCTAAAGACCTGGAATCAAATGTAAGGAATGTCTGGGTTATAATAAGGGGTTGTGGAGACCAAGGTTTTATCATGTAGAGGAAGCCTCCAGGTAGCAGGCTTCAAAGAGAATAGATGGTAAATGTTTCCTATCAGACTTAAAGAGTCTGTTCTATCAGTCTTAAGGTCTGTGTCGATATTAACGGTAAGGAAGTATGTCCAACCTCCCGTTCCCATCATGGCCTAAACTATTTTACAGGTTAACTTTGGAATGCCCTTGGCCAAGAGGAGAGGTCCATTTAGATGGCTGGGGGGCTTACAGTTTTATTTTTGGTTGAAGGACACAGATCCAAACCATATCAGTGGGAGTATGTAGAAGTTCGGACTGCATTTTCTTTTCAAAGAAATAGTAAGCAAAGTTGAGTATAAGGAGAAAGCAGGAGGTATTGATGGTTTCAGAGAAAATGATGTGAAACAGTCATCTAAGAGAATGGGAAAGTGAATGCACCAGGGAAATGTATCAGGATTTATGGGTGGCATTAGGGACCATTTGAGGTACACAGTCACAAATCCTAATTGAGTTCAGTGAATCAAGAGAACATAGGATTTGAGGATGTACACAAAGGAATCATTACAATGATAGATATATAGTAAAACTATAATACTAAAGGAGAATGTAATGTGTTTCAACATGATTATCATTACTGTTTTTATTATTGTTGTTATCATTATTATAATTAAGGCAGTGTGACCATCTCAAGTCACACACTGAGGCATGCAAGAACCATAGTTTTCTCTGTTCTTCTATAACTTAACATGTTAAGACTTTATTTTTCCAAGTGGAAACATAAATTTCTATAAATTCATGAGTTCCTACCCTCTTTCTTGAAACTGATCTAAGTTCATGAAGACCTGCATGGTGCCAAGGTTTGGGAACTGGAAGGCACCTGTTCAGGGTGCTGGCCATTTCTGCAGGCTTCATGCTCCCTTCCTGTTCTCTGGATGTGCATCCATGCAGACCCTGATAAATTCCCTTGTTCCTGAGCACTAGTATCCTCACGGCCCAGGGCCATCAAGCTCTCCCGCCCATTCTAGGCTGGGGTAGCACTCTGATATGTCCCAGGCACCCTCTGCCAAGACTCATCAGGAAATCACTTCTTAAATCCTACCAGGGAAGGAAAATGGCTAAGCTTTAAATATCTGTCTTCATTAATATTACTCTGAGAGACAGAATACACAAACAAACAATGGCTAGACCATATATAAAAACAGAACTCTGACCCACAGCCTGCACAGGAAACCAGTCCCTTGTCTACAATAAACAAACAGCCCAGAAGGCCAGCCTGCTGTAAGTCAGATTTACAGGAGGTAAGACCATCTCCAATAACAAACCAGGAAGCTAAACAATAACTTCTACAACAACTGGCCCCAAATGGCCAGGACTTCATTAATAACTGACAGCTTCCCTGATTTTTGCCCCTGCTTCCAACTTAGAACCAACCAGAGAAAGCCAAATGTGCAGCCTACGCTGCTACACAGGAAGCCCATTTCCAGTGAGCTCATGATTCCACAGCTTCCCCGGTGAGCAGCCTGTAATCAGTGCACCCCTGAAACCTTCCCTTTTTTTACTCTATAAAACTTCCCACTCCTCTGCCTACATTGAAGTCTTTGCCAAAATGCAAAAAGTGACAGTGGCTGACTCTCTTACTCTAGAAAGCTCTGAAGAAATAGGCTTTGCTTTTTTCATTTGGTTGGTCTTCATTTGTTTCCATAACCCTGAACGTACACATAAGAGGAGAGCAGATTATTATTTACTGACAAGCAAACAAGGATTATTTACTTATAACCAAACAAGAACTGTTTGGTTCTCTTGTGCCCCAATTCCTTACCTCTAGACAGTGCAATGAAAGCAGAGGTTATCCTACTCATCAAGCCTGCAGGAAATGCAGAAATATAAATTTGGGCATTCATATACATATTTTCTCCCTCCCCTACTGAAAGGAGGGAGAAAAACCTTGAAAAGGATCCTGAGTTATTACTTTAACCATTTAGAATGTAAATAGGTCTTCCCAAGGGAAAGATAAGACCGTCTGTCTCCAGATTTATAACCCAGGATGTCTCCATGTTCCTGGGTCTCAGCCTCCCTTGAAATGTAAACAACCCTGTAGTCCCGGCACTTTGGGAGACCAAGGCAGGACGATCCCTGAGGCCAGGAGTTTGAGGGTACAGTGAGCTAGGATCATGCCCCTGCACTCCAGCCTGGGCAGCAGAGCCAGACCCCATCTCTTAAAAAAGAAAAAAAAATGAAATAACAAATACCACCAGAGCCAGAAATCTCTTTGGAGTTCTCACAAGCTATAGTTGTGAATTAACTTCTGCAGCTTGCTGCTCTTTTAGCCCTGGTCCCAAGTTTCACTCTGATTTTCCCAGAATTCCTAACCATACAGAAACACAAACCTTTTTTTCTCTACCGCCTCACAGAACCTCAGAGGCTCTCAGTTCGGGGCTCCCTCAAACCCATCTGAGGTAAAGTAAGGCTTCCTGTCATCCTCTGTAAGAGATGGACAGCCTTCACTCCCCACCCTCCCCAGTTTTCTGAGGGTGCCCTGGGCCCTGCTTTTGGAAGGGACAGCCCAGGATGTGGTGGCAGTCAATGCCAAAGTAGTTCCACAGAAACACCCAGGGCCTGGACCGGGGCCTTCAGGAGCTCCACATGCCCAGAAGCGAGACAAATTAATGAACCAGTCTGAACGCACTCTCTTCTCTGCCTCTCCCCAGGCCCTCAACGGCTTCCTCATGGCAGTCACAGAGGATGGCTACATCTTTTACGTCTCTCCCACAGTCCAGGACTACCTGGGATTTCATCAAGTGAGCAGTTTTGTTTCATTTCAGGGAAGTGAGTGAGTTGGGGATGGGACAGGGCCATGGGCCATATGCAGCCTGGTCTCTGAGGGGCTATAAGGGAAGTCTCAGTCCCTCCTGCACACACTCTGTATGTCTTGGAAATGAACCTCCCCGACATGCCGGCTTCCTCACCTGTTGGAGGGCATGTTAGGCCAGGTCCTTTAAGAAGCAGATGCCGCACACGATGAGATGAGCGAGATTCCTCAGGGAGCATCTTCCGAGGAACAGAACAAGGGAAGGCAGCTGTGGACAGGGGAGCTGCCACACTTCCACGCAGGTCTGGCCCTTGCGCAGGAGACAGAGGAGAAATGTGTACGGCTGGAAGTTCTAAGAGAATTCGGCAAGGCTGATGGGAGGTTCTTAATCCCGAATTGCCCATCAGAGGCGATCAGAGTCCCCTGGGAACAGGCCGGCCTTGGTGTCCCTGCCACACTCAGTCACTGGCTGGGGACACTGCAGGATCATGGCCCTGAACATGGTGGTGGAGCCATGAGGTGTAGTAGGCACGAGCGCCGCAGTCAGAGCCTAGGGCACATTTCCGCGACTGAGAGTGAGTTCTCCCTGTGGGTGTGCGGAGCAGCTCCTCCCTCCTTGGTTCCCGTGAGTCTCTCTTCCTGAGGGAAGCCCAAAAAGGAGAGGTTAGTGGGGCAAACTGCAGCCCCCAATCAGATCTCGGGGTAGCAAACTTTCCCTCCCCAACCCCTGTTCTGAACCCACCTACCCTCAGCCTCACGTCAGCATGTGCTGATGGCTCCCCTGGGTGTGACCCAAATGTTCATTCCTGTGGGTCTGAGCACAGACACTCAAAGCGTCATTGTGGCCCCCACATCAGGGTGGGGGCTGCTGGGGGCCAGAAAATAAATGAAATGCAAGCTACAGTCTGGCCAACACAAACCCACGGAGTCCCTGGACCCAGCCAGTGGTCACCGACCTATTCCCCGCACTTATCATTGGGATCAATATAGTTGACTGACAGTTGGACTGACTTCCACACTGGATCCTTGGCCTGTGGAGTCAGAAGCATCATAGTGGACAAAGCCAAGGGGAATCTCTGAAACCAAGATAGTAAGTCATGCCCAGGGAGGTGGCAGAAAGCAGGCCATCATGAAAGCCTAAACAACGCAGAGTTCCTGGACCCGTAGTGTTTCCACTGGATTCCCCCGTGTGGGCCCCAAAGAAACGGAAGGTTCCCAGTGATCACTTTAGACTGCTTAGATGTAACCAAACCGTGGGCCTGATTTCAGCTGTGAGCAGAACATACTATCACTGCTCAAACAGATTAACAGGCCCTCAGGTGCATGGTATGTGGCCAGTGATTTGGCAAATGTATTCTTTCCCATTACAGTTTAAAAAGAGAGAAATCCGAAAAAAACCATGTTCATGTGGGACAGAAAATATTCATTTAAACATTTGCTTCAAGGCCATGTTAACCCTTCCCCTGTGTCCTCACACAATCTGAGGAGACCTGGACATACCATACGAATGACACTGACCATTTACAGTGACAATGATATGCTGATTGGGCAGGAGGAGCAAGAGGAGATTAGGGAGGGCAGGCCTTGAGACATGGTTGCCCCTGTGGGAGGGAGATGAGCCTATTAAAATGCAGAGAGCTGCACTTTGGGGAAGTTTTTCAGGGTCCAGTGGTCAGGTCTCCTCCAAAGTGAAAGACGGCTGCCGGCTTTGAAGGGACAGAGGTGAGAGCAGAGCACCTGGTCGTCAGCCTCATGTGGAGGGAGATGTGAGCCACAATGCAAATGTATCTAGATTCTTCAGCAGTGGCCAGTGGTCTGTCTGTCATGTTGGGGCCTGGAAGGAAAAAGCAGGATGATCAGAGACAACGATGTCTGAAATAGGGCATGTTGCTGAATGTATGAGAGTGGGTGCCAAGGGTGAAGATTTTTGTTTCACTCATCAGTGTTCACAGAAAGAAGCCCCCGTAGAAAAGGCACTACTCAGCCAAGCAGACAGGATGACTGGGCCACGTGGCATGAGCCTACCTCCATCACTGGCTGCCCCAGAACTAGCATGATGGGCAGTAGGCAGAGTAGCTACAGTGGCAGCTATGTACTGTGAGGATTCCCTAAATGCACCTGCAGATATTACTCAGGTGACCGTACAGTGGGGGGAAGGAGAATATCCAGATATTTTCATCTGTTGGACAGAAGGTGTGGTCACCTGAGTGAATGTCTTGCCATGGTATTTCAGTGCTCTTACTCCTAGGGACCCTGCCAGATCTTCAGTCAATGAATTACAGGTCTGGAAATTGTCTCAGATTCAAAACTGAGCAAGAAATTGCCACTTTTCACTGAGGCAAAAGCCCTCAGCCTTCTAACGTCCATGCTGGCTCTTTTTCTGTTAAGCAGCATTATTGCTGGCTGCCATCTCTTCTGCCCCTAGGGGCCCCGCTCTCTGTTAACCACCTCCACCACTCTCTATGGGCCAAGCCTCTTGGCTGTGCCTCAGCCTTGCCAGTTGTCACTGTAATTGCAGCCTGCTGGCTTCTGCTGGGCAAGTGCCACCACCTGGCCTCTATTACTTTAGGGCTCCACTGTCTCTGTGGATATTAATGAGCCCAACTCTGTGGCTGCTTCTCCTGCCAAAGTGCTGACCTGCACAGAAGAGCTGCCTGCCACCAGACCTCACAGTGACGCTGGTATCCTTCCCGTTGCACTCCTGATGGCCTTGGAAAGTGGTGTGGCTCCTGGGCCCTCCCATGGAACTATAATTTCTGATGGGTCTTCTGGAGTCATAAAATGCATTTATTCCAGCACACACCTTTCTCTCAGCCCCTTTATTCCTTCTTCTGCCATCTGCCAGGACAACTCAGGTACTACCATGTTGCCAATCGTTGGCTTTTCCCAGAACTCTAGCAGCTACCCCAGCAATGAGTTTGCCCCATTTTCTGGGGTCCTCACTAGGGTGTGAAATCCTAAGTCCTGAGAAGTGCAGATCTGGCCCTTGTGAAGGAAGGAGGGATGGAGGAGGAAGGTTACATGGGAAAGTCTTAGACTGTAGTACAGCTCTAAGGAAGTTTGACAAGGCCAAAGGGGAGCCCTCAAGCCAGAGTTCCCATAGAGAAGTCCTGTGTCTACCAGGACCATGCTTGTCTTAAAGCCACAGCATTTCAGAGTGCAGCAGCTGAGGGCGTGACTTAGTTATACTCCCTGCAGCTGGAAATCTGCATTTTAACTACCACCACTGAGGGAAGATATTCCATACCTCACAGTACTGTTGTGCAGACTGAATAACAGCAATGCATACGCAAGCACCTTATACACCAAGAATGCCATGCAGTGGAAAGGATTTATTAAAATTCTATAGCAATAGGAGATATCATCAAGTTGGCTGACTACAGGCACTCACCACTCACCTCCTCCACAAAGAAAGACCAAAACAGCAAGAAGATAATCACATACTGAATAAAATACCTAAGGGAGAACAATGGAATTCAGCAGGAAAGTGACAATGACCCTCTGAGGCGCAGAAACTCAAAACAGCAGCATGGAGAGGTAAGTAAAGCACCCAGCTGGGATGGGCTCAGACAAAGGAGGGATTCTTCATTGCCAGGAAAAGGTAAGCAGGAGATCCACAGCAGTCTGCATTCCCACCACAGATATTGGCAATCCTAGCTACAGGAAAGCCCCTCAACCCTCACAGGCCCTTAGCCTAGTATAGGGAGCTGCTTGGAGTCCACACAACAGCATCGTTCCAGAGAAGGAATTCATTCTGGGTCCCACCTACCCCTGGAACCCAAGCTGCTATAACCCAGCACCATTTTGAGAGTAGAGCCACTACCAGACCACATCCTGCCCTGGGGCCCAGTAGCCTCTGCATCTCCACATCACAGGCCCCACTAACATCCCCCTGTATCCGCCCAGAGGGCTGCAGTGTTGCAATCCTAGCTAGACGCAGAGGTGGGCCACATCCGTGGCACCTGAACCTATCAGCACCCTACACACTGGGGAACAGGCAGTCCAGCACATCAGAAGGGCTACTCTCAGTTCATACAGAGCCAAAGAAGGCAATCCCCAAAGCCTCAGAGCCATCTGCTCAAGGCTGCTGCCACCCGCAGCCATCCCACAATGTCCAGCAGTGGGCCTACTGCACACCCATGCGTACCACCTGGGGGCTGAGGACTGGACCACCTAGGGCCTGCTGTCAGAACCACTGGTGCCAGCATGGGCCACCAGGGGGCCCAAGAACTGACTCATCCAGGCCCACCACTGCCACCACCAGCTCCCATGCACACTATCTGGGGTTCAAGGACCACCCCTTCTGGGGCTCACTGCCACCATAGCCAGCACCTGTGCAACAGCCAAGGGGCCCAAGGACTAGCCTGCCTAGGGCCAGCTGACACCATAGCTGGTGTCCACATGGGCTGCTCAGGGCCCACCACCACCACGACAACTGGCACCCACATGCACCACCTGGGGGCCCCAGAACTGGTCTTTCTGGGGCCCACTATCACCACCACCAGCAATCCTGTCCACTCTATCAGTGGAGCTGCCACGTGCCTGCACTTATCACCCAGGAACCCAAGGAATGGCCCACCCAAAGTTGACCACTACCACTACCAGTGCCCACCAGGACCCAGAGGTCTGGTCCACTAGCATCCCCATCACCAGTAAAGCCTTGCCACAGCCTTCAGAAACAACCTTTGTAAGCCACTGAGGAACTCATAGACACCACTGACATTGATTGCAGCCAAAGAAATATAGAGATTATGCTACCGTGCCCAACCAGAACCAAAGCCAATGTGTCCTACCCAAATGATACTACAGATACATCTACAGAAAAAAGTCTTCCCCCAAGCTACTCTATAAAATTCGAAGAAGCAACTGTTATACCAGATGCACAGATATCAATGTAGGGACACAAGATGCATTAAAAAGCAAGAAAACTGACCCCTCTAAAGACACACAATAATTCTCCAGTAATAGAGCTTGAAGAAAAGTAAATCTAGAAATGTCTAAAATGGATTTCAAAATAATGATCTTAAAGAAACTCAGTGAGGCCAGGCGCGGTGGCTCAAGCTTGTAATCCCAACACTTTGGGAGGCCGAGATGGGCGGATCACGAGGTCAGGAAATCGAGACCATCCTGGCTAACACGGTGAAACCCCGTCTCTACTAAAAAACACAAAAAACTAGCCTGGCAAGGTGGCGGGCGCCTGTAGTCCCAGCTACTCGGGAGGCTGAGGCAGGAGAATGGCGGGAACCCGGGAGGCGGAGCTTGCAGTGAGTTGAGATCCGGCCACTGCACTCCAGCCTGGGGGACAAAGCGAGACTCTGTCTCAAAAAATAAAAAAATTTAAAAAAAAGAAAAAGAAAGAAAGAAATCTTTAGGAGTATGACTCTGTCCCTTGGTCTTTGTAGTCAGATGTCATCTACCAGAGTGTGTTCGAGCTGATCCACAAGGAGGACAGAGCCATGTTCCAGAGCCAGTTACGCTGGCCTCCAGACACAGCATCAGTCAGCAGAGAAGCAGATCCGGACACCAGCCGTAAGTCACCATCTCAGAGGAAACGGGGGTGGAAATGAAATCAACCCTGTACCTATGTTTCAACCCTTGAAGTCCATGAGAAGGAAAGTAGACTAGGGAGCTGGACATTCTCAGCTGGAGGGTCTATTTCAGAAAGCATAACAACACTGGCTCAGTTCCATGTCCTTGATGACGAGATGAACCAAGAATGAAGTAGTATGTGCTGACACAGGACTCTGCATCTTTTAGAATCTCTCATATCTCTGAACTCATCTGGTCCTCTGTTAACTGGAAAACATACATGTGGCATGAATTTCTGTTGTTTTTACTACCAATAGGATGCAGGAAGGGATTTTTGATGTCTTGTTTACTGATATATCCTCAGTGCCTAGCAGAGTACCTGACACACAGTGACTCAGTAAATATTAGTTGCTTGAATGAATGAATGTGCAGATGAGGAGATTGAGGCTGCCCACATGGGTCCATCTGGCAGGACTCGCACTGGAGGAAATGCCTTGCATCCCCTAAATCGCGTTCAGGTGGCCAAGAGTCTCTCATCTGTGTATCTGATGAGCACACAGGTGGGTGGCCATTATGCCCTAGATGTGTGTTACTCCGTTGGCTGGTGGGAAACCACAGACACTCACCAACAGGTGATATTGTTATTTACAGGTAAATGCCATTTTGTAAGCACAGACACAGGTCCCTTCTCCAGGGATTTAGAGTGCATTTTATGCACGCACACGGGCGGGAGGGAAGGGTTTTTGGTTTTTTTTTTTGGATTGTTGTTCGGAAAGGATTCTTCAAACTTGGGGTTTTGCGGAGGAAGGTTATTGAGGCCTTGGCCAATATCTGCACACTAATGATGTCCTTTTCATGGTAGGGAGTCTAAAATATTAAACAAAAATGAACTTACGACGCTCCCTATAAGTATAGTTGTGTGACTTCTGGAGACTTGGCTTTAATTCAGGTCAACTTTGGCTACTGTGAAGATTTTAATCCGTCTTTCTCCAAAGCTGCTTCCTCTCTAGAAGTTCCACACAAGACTCTCTCAACCAGCCTAAGGTCAACTGGGTGGTTACTTATCACAAAATATATCTTTACTTTCTTCCTCCTCACCCCCCATCAGATTTTCAGCTCCTGAAGTCATTCAGGATCCTAATCCTCAGCATTGAGCTTTGCACCTCTGTGTGATGACTCATTCTGTGTCCCACCCTGTCCACATTGACTGGTCAGGGGTCTGAGGGGAAGGAACAGAGGTCTGAAGTCCAGCCTGGGCTGTGGGAGTGGAGTGGGCATCTACTCCAACTCCTCTGTGTTAGAGTTCTAGAAACAAAGCATCGGAGCAGAGTGGGGATTTATGCCACCCAAGTAGTCTAAGGCCAAGACACAACACCAACAGTCCAGTATCCTCACCCCCACTAGGTCCTACATTGTTACTGTGTCTAACTTAGTGGTTCCTTATGTTTATTCATTTCTTTCTCAAAGAAACTAGTAACTTTGTGTTCCAACTATATTTTTATACATAAATCTAAAATATTTGAGAAAACTTAAAACACTGTTAGTAATAACTCAACAGGTTTTCTGTTAAATAAATTGATAGCTATGCCCTAACAGTTCTGGCATTTGTTCAAAAGATAGTGAGGTCAACAATACTCCAAATTATCTCACTTCATTCCTAGCACTTTGAAGTCAAGTACAAAATACTATCACTTTTATTTATGCCTTATTTTATATGTAAGGTATAAATATACTCTGAGGCAGCAAGCCCTAAGGTAAATTTACAATGTACCATTATAATCCTTGATTTCACTTCCCTGGAATCTTTCATTCTTTTTTCCACCCCAGTTGGAATTTTCATCCCCATTTAAGAAGAGTTTCCTGGATTTTAAACCATAGTCAAAATACATTTGTGAATGTCACAATTTGCAGGATTTTGCACACATCCTGACAGCAGCAAGTTTGAATTACGTCCTTAACAGTGAATATTCTGAAATTTTACATAAAATTTCACATTTTTAATTCCTTTTATACCCTTATGCTGCCACAGTCGCAGAAACTACGCAGTAATCTACCTCCATGTCTATGTGTGCATGACAAGTCCTCGAAATACAAGTAAAACCTTCATCACAGTGCTATAAACATGCCAGAAAACATCTAAAGACCACTCCATCTAACCCAAATTCCAGCTGATGTACACTTTATGCACACGTGTATATGTTCCAACATTTACTGAGGGTCTACCACATGCCAGGCACTGTGCTAGGGGCCTTATTAAATCAGATTAAGAAGAAACAGTAGTAAAACTTACCAGACTCTGATTAAATTCTTCCCTTCATCCCTCCCATGAAAACATTTAGGACTGCTAATCTATTACAAGCTTGCTTTCATCTTATTCTTCCACAAAACTTGAGTCTAGATGAATTAAATTTTTATGTGACACAGGGAGAACCATCGGTGTACATATAATCAGACTTGTCACGTTGAGAATTGTAGCAAAACAATTTGGGTTTTGCATCCTTGACTTTCTAATGAGGCATAAATGAGACTTTCATTTTTAACCCCAAGAATTTGACTTTCCTCTTATTACTCTCTGAGAGGACTTCTCTACAAATTCCTCGGATGGGAAAGAGAGGAGGCTGAATCAGCACTCCAAAAAAGATGAAAGTAGCATTCTCCACAAAAGTGTTTTTTTCCTGGTAAGAGAGACTATCCAGTCACTTTTCTGTGCCTAATGTTTTCTTTTCCTGCTGAAGTAGCAGTAACTGACATTCACTCTAGAAAATGAGAAGGAGAAAATTATCACTTCTACCACACTTGGTTCAGTTTTCCATTTAATGTTTACTGAGCACCTATTATGTGCCAGGTTATGTTCTAGGCACAGTGTAGAGAGAAAAATAGACCAAGTGCCTATTCTGATGGATCTTAAATTTCAATGGGGTAAGGGGGCCAAAAATAAAGACATGAATAAATATGTAATGTTTCTGGTGGGGAAGTGCCAAGAAGAAACTAAATTAAGGAAAGAGAAACGTTACCGGATGGGCACACTATCATTTGAAGAGGTATGGATAGCCACAAAAATAAGTATATGAGGTAATGCATATGTTAAATAGCTTCCTTTAGCCATTCTACAATGTATACATATATCAAAAGTTTTACACCATAAATATATACATATTTTACTTGTCAATTAAAAATAAAGAGGTATGGATAAATTGGGGGAGAGCAATGCAGGTGGAAGGACTGGCAAGGGTGCAAAGGCCCTAAGGCAGAAGTGCACTTAGCATAGCTATGGAATACCAAGGAGTGCAGGGAGGTCACAAAATGAAGGGAAGACTGGTAAGAGATTGCAGGGTTGAGAGTGCATATGAGGTTAGCCTCTCAGGCCACTATGAAGACTCTCAGGTGGGAAGTAACTGGAGAGTTCTAAGCAGATAAATGACATGATGTGACATATTTTATGTCGCTATGGCAGCTGAGTGAAGGACAGATGGTAGGGTGCAAGGGTGGATGCAGGGATACCAGTTAGAATGCAATGGCAAAGTTAAGACAAGAAAAAAAATTATAGTAACAGCCAAGTCTTATAGAGGTTATAATGTACTAGGTACTATTCCAAGTGCTTTACGTATGTAAAGTTGTCTAATTCTCCTAGCAACCTTATTAAGTCAGATGAGAAAACTGAGGCCCATAGAGAGGTTAAATAACCTAACCAGAGTCACAAAACAAGTGAGGCTTCAGTCTGGGTCCAGGTTCACCATAATGTTCTGCTCATCTCATGACAAGGAAACTGACCAGCACAGTAGAGGTGAAGGGGATGACAAGTGGTTGGCTCTATGCTATAGCTCAACGGTGGAGCCAACAGGGTAACCAATGGATGGATATATATGTTACAGTGCATCATCCCATTTTTATCTTGGTCCTCATGACATGGCGAAGGAAGGCAGGCAGGAAGGACTACTAGCATCATGTGATGTGTGAGAAATCCAGCCTGAGTGGCTGATCAAAGTCATCCAGCCAAGTGAAGGTCACAGTTCACTTGGCCACAGGGCTTGTGACCCATTTTTTGACCCACCAGCTGCTTCCATAGCTATAGTATTTCACCTCTGTGATGATGGCTGCACTGGTGGAGTCTCCTCAGTGTGTGTCTCTGTCCTTCCAGCTCTGCCTGGAGAGAGTTCCCTCCCACTTAGTGGCACCCCTCCTGCCAGCGTTCAGCATCTGCCCTTGGAAGACCCTTCCTACCTGGAGAGAAGCTTTGTCTGTCGATTCCGCTGCCTGCTGGACAATTCTTCTGGGTTTCTGGTAACTATATTGTCTTTACAGGGTCAGGACTCGCAAAACCAGTATGTAAGTCTGCTCAGGTGGAACACTGCCCAAGGGTTGGGCCTAGCCTCCTCACCACCCCAGGAAGGGTCCTCAGGCCTTCGGCTCACTAACATTTCAGAGGGTCAGCCTGTTGAAGATGCAGTTGTCTTTTGAAACTTCCTCTGCCTAGTTAAGACTTGGGATATGTTTACTTAGGATTCAGATACACCTGTTACCTCTGGTACAGCCCTACATGGGGAGTCCCTGGTGAACTCAGGATGTTAACATTCATCTTCTTCACCATCACCTGGAATTGTATATCCCCTCACAGCTTAACTAACACTATGCTCTGCAGCTTTGGGAAAAGGCTGTATGGGGCAGGGCCCTGAGGGAGGGCTGAGGAGCCATGAAAAATGATGAGTGCCTGCTGGGCAGGCCAGAAGAATTAGATTCTAGGCCTGCAAACACCTGTGCTATGTTGGGGGTTCAAGGAGAGCTCTGCCTGTTTGGCTCCCAGCAGGATACTGGACTCCTCTGAATTCCATAAGGGGGCAAGTTCTATACAGTTTTAGCTACTTAACATCCTCTCACCTTCTGTGCTCATTATGTTTGCGGTTTTCTTTTTCCAGGAATTGAATTTCCAGGGCCATCTCAAATTCCTCCCTGGGCAGAACACTAAGTCAGAAGACGGCACCTTCTTGTCTCCTCACCTTACCCTGTTTGCCACTGCAACACCTCGTCAGCCTCTCACCATCCTGGAGCTCCAAAACAAAACATTTATTTTCCAAACAAAACACAAATTGGATTTCACACCTATAGCCTGTGATTCCAGGTATATCCCTCTGACTGAAAATCATGACTCTTAGAGTAGTGCTTCAAGACTAGTTATGGCGCAAATCCTGAGCCTAGAACCAAAGCAAAGCACGAATAATTAGCTAGTCTTGTCCAAATAGGTTTCGTGAAATGAGTCAGTAGAAAATATGCTGTGTTTATAGAGACAACGTACCAAATCTTCCATGTAAGATACGGCATTTGAGTGAGAGTGTGATACGGAGAGTAAATCTTGGGAAAAGCTTATCTCCTTCTTGGAGACTTCCATTAACAGATCATAGCAAAGCCCCAAGAAGTCCCACTAGGAAGAAATCTAATTAGTTCGATTCATTTTTTTTTTCAAACTTATTTAACAATGGAAGCCTTCTTGGGCGAACATCAACTAACACGCAACAATATCAGTGTTTCTTAGAACATAGCCTAGAAAACACTGGCTTAAGAGCAAGTAGTATGACTTGCAAGGTTTACCTTTTCTGCTAAGATAATGTTCACCCGTTTGATGAAAGCTGTGGAACTTCTTAACAAGAATTCCAATTGTTCTCCCACAAGCACACTTTTGTGTACAGTTTCAGGGATTCTCTTTACTCCAGGACAAGAACGCTTGCTCTACACCACAGGCAAATAAAAACAGGCTTAAAGCAGAATTCTGAAACTGCATGTGTGGCAGAAGTGTCCGAGAGGACACCACAATCTTTTCAGTGTGGCAGCCCCTTAAAGTTCTCGCCCCAGCCGTGCTGATGGGGGGAGGGGTGCCCTTCCCAGACCTGGGTTTCCAGAGGGGACCCTAAGGTTCCTCCTTGGCTCGGTGAGAACTGTGAATGAGAACTGGGGGGAGCTGTGCAAAGCGTGGGGTGGGGCAGTGACTCTTCATTCCTTCGGCATTCCGCTTCCGGGCTGAAATAAAAGGATGTGCGATGTCTCCTCTACGCAGAGGGAAGGTGATTCTGGGCTACACCGACAGCGAGCTCTGCAGGAGGGGATCTGGCTACCAGTTCATCCACGCGGCAGACATGATGTACTGCGCCGAGAACCACGTGCGAAGTGAGTTCCAGAGGCGCCCTGCGGGCCTCACACTGCCCCGTGGGAGGCGGGCTAGACCCCTGCACCCTGCCCGGGGCTCCTCCCCACCTCCCGCGGGGCCGGCTCCTGAGGGCTCCGAGCCGGGTGGTGGGCGGCGGCGTCGGACACGAGCCTCGTCTCTCTTCCTGCAGTGATGAGGACGGGCGAGAGCGGGCTCACGGTGTTCCGGCTGCTCACCAAGCAGGGGCGCTGGCTGTGGGTGCAGTCCAACGCGCGCCTGGTGTTCCGCGGCGGCCGGCCCCAGTGCATCGTCGCCCGACAGCGGGCCCTCACGTAAGTGGCCAGCGCGCCCTGGCGGAAGCCACGGTCGCATCTCCGAGGCGCACCCTGACGGAAGTGGAGCCCCCTGGCGGAAGTGGAGCCCCTGGCGGAAGTGGAGCCCCCTGGCGGTTCCCTGTGAGAGCCGGGTCCCCAGTGAGCTTCCGCCGGCCGGTAGTACAGGAAGATCCCTTGGCCTGGTCGCCCTCGTAAGTGAGGTTCCCATGTAAGGGCCGTTGCCAGGCGCGATGTAAGTGAAGCCCCGCAGGCCGCGCTGTTAGTCCGGGCCTTGTCCTGAGGGTCGGAAGTGAGAGCCGGACGTAAGGCGGGCTGATGGCGGCGAGCACCGTGAGACCGCCACCCCAGAAGTCCCTCAGTAGCCTCCAGGCCTGAGCCGATGGCCGCGGGGCCCCTCTTGTCTGGTTGTTTGACATTGGAGGGAAGGCTGAACCCCTCACGGCCTCGGTTACTCCTGCAGACTAGGGAGAGTGCACCCTCCGGGTGGTTTCCTGATGTGGAGCCAGCGGGATGGGTCACTTTTTCCCGGCTTGGCGTGCAGAGCCTTGGAGGCCGAGTGCCACTGGAGAAAGTGTCTGTGGCTTTTTTTTTTTTTTTTGAGACAGAGTCCCCATTCCTTCCAGATAGCAGCTTGAGCATGAAGAAAGGCATAACTAAAATCAGTGTAAATGTTAATTCTTAAGTCCCTTCCCAATTGCAAGGCTGTAATAAGAGCTATTAATTCCACCTTTTGAGCCATAAGGCCTAAGATTCAATTACCTCGTGTTGACTGACAACTGCATGCCCACCTTTTCTGCTTCCCTGGTGCATAAAGCAACTTCCATCTGTAAACCATTCTAGCTCCGGATTATCTAGAGGTTCATCCTTTAAATCTGGCCAGCTGGAATAAACTTACTCCATAACTCGTATACAAGAATGATCTAGAGTGCCTGTGGGATCAGGCAGATAGATAGCTGGATTCAAAATCTGGCATTCTTTAAGAGTTACAGCAGGAGTGTCTAGCAACAAAGCCTAATATTTCACTAAGTACCCCCCTGTCATCCAGTGGTGTCCTTCAGCTTCTAGGATTCCTTGTACTTGATGTGGGGTTAAAAACCTCCACATGTTGTCTTAAAATCAGTTTATTGGCTTCATCTACCAAAAGAGCAGCTGCTGCAACTGCCCTGAGGCATCCAGGCCATCCTGAAGCTTCCTGGTCTAATTGTACAAAAATATGCCACTTGTAAGGAGATATCTCCCAGCTTCTGGACAAGGATCCCCAAAGCAGTTCCTTGTTTTTCAGCCACATAAAAGAAAAATGGCTTATCAAGATTAGGGATCTCCAGGGCTGGAGCTGATCCAAATTTCTCCTTGAAAGGATTAAAAGCTTGTTTACAATTGCTATCCCATTCAAGAGGATCTACATCTGCTCCTTTCAGGGCCTCATATAACGGCTTGGCCATACGCTCAAATCCAGGCACCCATAAACAGTAGAATCCTGCCAGCCCTAGGAAAGCCTGCAGCTGCTTTCTGGTTTTGGGTTCTGGAATGCCCAGGATAGCTTCCCTTCATGCTGGGGCTATTGCCCAGGTGCCAGGGGTTGATATATATCCTAAGTGTTTAACCTCTTGAGATGAAACCTGGGCCTTATGCAGCAAGGTCCTATACCCGTTAGCTCCCAGAAAATTTACCAACTTAATGGTGTTTTCTTCCGAGTCTCTTTTGGTTGTGCTAGCAACCAACAAATCGTCCACATATTGGATAATAGTGACCTTATTCAATTGTAATAGCCTTAATTTTCTAGCCAATGCATTTCCAAACAGATGAAGGCTCTGCCTGAGAGCCTTCCCTGGGAAGAACCGTCCAAGTTAACTGAGAAACCAAATGACTCAATTAACTGGGGATCTGTCTGTTCAAATGCAAAGATGAATTATGAATCAGGGTGTAATGGAATGCCAAAAAAATGGCATCTTTAAGATCTAAGATTGTAAATCAGTCAGCATCCCCAGGGACCTGGGCTAACAGCACATAGGGATTGGGCACTATAGGATATATGGGAATGACAGCATCATTGAAAGCCTGAAGCTATTGAACAAATCTATAGTCACGGTTTGGCTTTCCAACTGGCAAGACTAGAGTATTACAAGCAGACTCACAGGGCCTTAACAACCAGAATTGCAAAAACTTGGCTATTAATGGTCCAATCCCTCTTTGTGCCTCGAGCTTTAAAGGGTATTGTCTCTTCCAGGGGTACAGGACACCAGGCTTAAGTTGGATGCAAACCAGGGGACTGTTTAATGCTTTGCCTGGAACCTCAGTGTCCCATACTATAGGATTTACTTGGGGGGTTACTTCAATAGGTAAGCTAGATAAGTCACCTATTAACTTTCCTCTCTTATCACAGAAAAGGAGAAAGAACAATCTTTCATCTGCCTTGTTATTTCCAAAAGGTACCACTGTTTGCAGCTGATCAACAAATCCCTTCCCAATAAAGGGGTGGAACAGTCAGGCATTATAAGAAAGGCAACTGAGAAAACCAAAGTCCCTGATGGGCAGCTTACAGGATAGGTAAAGTGGCATCGGTGAGCTTGTCTATCTAACCCCATGACCATACACTTTTGGGGTAACAGAAGCTCATTATAATAGTCAAAACAGAGTAAGCAGCTCCCCGTATCCAGAAGGAAGTTAATATTCTTACCTTCACTTCAAGGGTTACCTGAGGCTCCTCTGAAGATGTGGCTAGTTGTCCAACAGGAGGTGTGTAAGAACGTCTTGGGCCCCACCACTCTTGGGCTTGCTTGGCTATTTTGGCCATCATTGGTTTGGGTGCCAATGGCTCCCTTCGGAATGCTGGGCATTCCCTTTTCCAATGGCCAGTTTTCTTACAGTATACACACTGATGAATATCCAAGGCATGGTAACTCAGATGCCCAGCTCTGGGCTTTCCACCTTTTTGCTTCACTAGTTCAGATCAAGAGCCAAAAGGGTAACCTCATGTTGGAGGTGAGCTTAAGGCTGCAGCCAAGAGCTGCACCTTGTAGGAGGTTCTTTTTTGCTCTTTCTGCTTCCCCTGTTCTGTCCCTGTTATTAAAAACAAAAAATGCCATATTCAAAAGCTGATTTATAGGTGTCTGGGGACCCATAGCTGTGCTTTGTAGTTTCTTACAGTTATCAGGGGCAGACTGGGTTATAAAATGTACTCCCCAAGGGGTCTGTCCTTCCCTTGAATCAGGATCTGTGTTAATGTATTTCCTAGTAGCCCCAACTAAACACTGTTGGAACAAAGCTGGATTCTTATCTTTACCCTGAGGAACTTCCTTAACCTTTTCATAGTTAACAGGCTTTGTCATACACTTCTTCATCCCTTCCAACAAACAAGTGACCATATGATCTCTCCTCCCTAAGTCCTCACTCATCAGCATGGATCCTAGCCGTCCCCAGGATGCATTGTTTCTCTTTCACTGTACAACACAGAGACAACAGAACATGCAGATCCTTCCAAGTTAAACTATAGGTCAGAGTTAATTTCTCAAACTTGTCTATGAGTTTTCCTGGATCTTCAGAGAAATGACCAAACTTCTTTTTACATAGAGTCAAATCAGACATAGAAAAGGGGATATGTACTCTTTTTTGTTTTTTTTGTTTGTTTGTTTTTTGGTTTTCTGTTTTCTTTGTTTTGTTTTGCTTTGTTTTGAGACAGAGTCTCCCTCTGTCGCCCAGGCTGGAGTGCAGTGGCGCAATCTTGGCTCACTGCAAGCTCCACCTCCCAGGTTTACACCATTCTCCTGCCTCAGCCTGCCCAGCAGCTGGGACTACAGGCACACGCCGCCACGCCCAGCTAATTTTTTGTATTTTTAGTATAGACGGGGTTTCACCATGTTAGCCAGGATGGTCTCAATCTCCTGACCTTGTGATCCACCTGCCCCGGCCTCCCAAAGTGCTGGGATTACAGGCGTGAGCCTCTGCACCCAGTCGGGGATATGTACTTTCACATTGCCTTCTTCCCCATTTGCCACCTCTCTAAGTGGACAAAGATTTCCCTTTGGAGGTTAATAAGAGGCTCCACTATGAGTAGTCCTCACAAGGCTAGGTTCCTCAGGGAGTGGTGGGTATAGAGTGGGACTAGGTGGGTAAGGAGGTGGGGACAAAGAGGTCTCAATAGAACTTCCAGGTCAACTAGAGGGAGAAAGGGTCAACACACCTGAACCTTCAGAGATGACAGAAGGAGGTTCTGCTCCATTCAGAAATGCTTACTGAACTCTGGGGGCTTGCATCAAGGGATCATCTAATATCTAGTATGTCTAGTTCATTTTCTTCATTTCCTCTCATTAAACATGCACATGCCTGTTGCAGGGTTTTATCCCAACTGAACAGCCAAAATATTCGAACATATGGTATTTTATCTCATTTTCATCTCTCTTACAAAACAAATCAAATGGAAGTATAGTATTAAAGGCCATAGTTCCAGTGGGAGGCCATTTCTCTTATTTTTCCAGCTAATACTGAGGCCAAAAAGTATTACATAGAAATATCAGTGTTCTCTTCTTAAGCCCATTTAGTTTAAACAGTTCCAGTGTTCAAGAATACATCCTAGCAGTGAGTCCTTTGGGATCACTGTCATGGTTCCTGAGAAGGAGGCAGGTGACGTTGATAGAAAAGTTCCAAACCTACGAGATTGTATTGTTACTGGCCAAGTTCCACTAAAAAGGATAAGAGAGGTTTTTAAGGCCAGCTGCATTAATGAGGGGATGCCTGCTGAAAATCAAATTCTCTTATTCACACTATCCAAATAACATAAATGAGCTGAGCCATGAATCTTAGATTAACCACAACATGGGTCTGACAAAATAAATGTTGAATAAGGCAAAGGAAATGAAGAGAACTTAGATGGGGATGACCAGAGCAAGCAGCCTCTGGCCAGTAGTGCCAGCGTGGGCTGGACAAGCAAAGACAATTTGCCCGGATCCAGGAAAGGAAAGAAGTTTTTTAGTGTGCAAATGGAACAAAACAGCAAGGAG